TACTTAATCGCGACTATACTCATTAAATCGGTCTAGGTTTGCCTTAAAAACAAAAGGACGCGAGACCGGGGTTCGAACTCAGTACCACTCACGTCGAGGACTAACGCGCTAACCACTACACCAATACGACACCAAGACAGCATTAAATGCCATTCCTCGTCCGAAAGCCTTGCAAGGTCCTCTACGGCCATAATATTGTTTTGATACACGAAAATATGTGTTACAGTTACTTTGCGAAAAGATTACCTTAAAACATTTCACCGTTTTTAATCGTGACTTGAGCAACGCCGAAAACTTAAACGTTCATAAGGTCTCCTAGATGTACCTTCAACGTTTATTTAAGATGGCTGAACTTTTTTTAATATTATCGGTTACCATCTCGATTGCCTAGACGCGTGCTGTTTGTCCTATGCATTACAAAAGCGTAGTTAATGCAAACCAGCGCAACAACGTAAATTCCGCTTTTATCCATAACATTATTGCTAACAGTTCTTTTTGTTCTCAACCTTATGATGTTCCATCGCTGAAAGGTATTAAAATTGAACCAGTACATATGTCAACGTGTACAAAGCTTGATTGTAAGCGTTTTGTGATGTTAATTCATCCCCTAATAGCTGTTCCTACGGCTCTTGTATATGAAAACTGCTTTTGGAAAATAAATTGAGAAAAGGACTGTGCTCGGTTTCCAATTCATTTACTGGGATGCAAATACTATGCTTAACTCAACGAAATTGTCCTTTTTGCATATTAGGAAAACTGCTTGTTGAATTTGCGATAAGTCACTTAAAATTGATAACCTGAGTAAATCATTATTTCATGATAATAAACTTTTAGCTATTTTCTATTATTTCGTAATAAGAAGCATGACCATAACCTTTCCAAGAAGAAAGGACAGGAATTTTTTTCTAGACTGACGTCATTGTTTTGCGCCAGGGTATAATTTATAGGTGTTAGATGCACATTATTTTACTTTTTATTATGCAGCTGATTTAAGCTTTCCCTTTGCAACTGAAAGCGACATAAATCCTGTGTTCTCTAAAAGACTGAATATATTGATAACAATGTTTGATAACATTTGTAGGTTTAGTAGGTGCGTTTTGGCAGACTGCTGTGAAAATATTGGAGACCTCGGCGGAAGTAGAACCACGATAGCAAGAAAAAAGCTTAAGTATAGCCAAATGAAAAATGAAACATCCACGATCAGCGGTGACTTTAATCAGATGTTTACGTTCATTATTTCCTTGAGCAGGCATGCTAATTTTTACATTCATTTAACATTTTTATTCAGTTTATTTTAAATTTAACTATTCAGTTATATTTTGCCATTTTTTTGGGTTTTTCGCAATCGATTTACAACTCGAAACCTTCACATACCATAGTTTTGGTAACGCGGATAACTCTTTAATGCTTATTTAATAGTCGTCATTGCATTTATCTTGAGTTCCTGGGTTACTGGCATCGGATGCTCTAAATTTCGTACGAAGTAACTAGCGCGTCTCATCGGTGGTGGTTGACCGTACCAATCTATTTTCAGTATTATATCATTCCTTTAGCAGTCTATTGTAGAAAAAGTTTACGGACTAGATCCATATCCAAATTCTCCATCTTCTTGTGCCCTACAGTCTACCAACTGGGTGTTTGTTGATCTGAATTGAATATGGCCGACCGGAATTTGGTTCCGCCAGTATTCAGCCGACCACGTATTGTAATTTTTGACTATCAATAAAAACAGGAAGGAGTTCGCAGTTCCCTTCTCAAGGGTAAAATGTGGCTTGGATAAAACTCACTGACCTTCAGTTTGACGACAGCCCGATGTCCCAATGTTCCAAAATAATGGGTGCTTAAGGCTAAATATATTAGACGCCTCATGAATGGATTCTAATAAGATTTTATGCAGTATGCAGCGTAGAAGGTGGAAGAACGTTCTCTGGGACCAAAATTTTATTTGCCCGACGTTCCGGACTCTCACTCGAGGCCATTGTCAAGGAATGAAAACCTACAGCTCACTGCGTGATTAAGATAGCTCTGCCAGGAGTGACCATGAGTTTCCATTGTTCGCTCCTCCGCGAGTGACCTTGAGCCTTGCTATTGCTCGCGCAACACGAGATAGACATCTAGGAGATTGATATGCCTATTAATAGAGTCCGCGTACGAGGTTTCAGTTCTTGACAATGGCATCGAGTGAGAGTCCGAAACGTCAGGCAAATAAATTGCTGGTCCCAGAGAACGTTCTTCCGCCTTCTATGCAATTATCTAAGCCTCACCTATTTTCGACCACTGACAGTATGCAGTGTGCATATCTAACAAACTCACAACATCTGAAGCAAGCCATCACCTACTTCTAAAGAAAAAGTGTTTTCTTGTTCTCACCCAAGGTGGTAGCCCACTATGAGCGCGCAGTTGTCTTCCGACTCGGCCGCCTTTTCTCCTCCAATGCCCAGGGACCGGGCCTGATCTTTCTACTCCCCTGTCTAGACAACTGCCGGGTCGTTGACCTACGTACCTTCACTTTCAACGTGCCAACCCAGGAGGTGCTCACCAAGGACTCCCTCACCGTGGCCGTCAATGCTGTCGTCTACTATCGTATTCGCAATCCGGTCTGTGCTGTGGTCAATGTGGAGGATGCTAACCGGTCCACCCGTCTGCTGGGTCAAACCACCCTGCGGAATGTGCTTGGGACGGTGAATTTGGACGAGCTGTTGACGGCTCGGGAGGACATTGCCATTTTAATGCAGGTAGGGAAACTGTACAGTTGGGGATGGTGTATTATTTGACTTGGATGAGAACATGCGCGTCATCACGTAAAATAACGAGCAGGTCGCGTGGTATGTATAACCGACAAAGACAAGGGAGCCTAGAATGGCTATTTCTGCCGTATTACCCATCGTCAGCCAGTCATACACAAACCCAAGTGGTGTCCCACCCAAGCCTCGAACTCGCGACCTCTCTGGTCAAAGTCAAATGCCTGAACCATCCGGCTTCGAGCTCGTTTTCTTGCCAGCTTTTGGCTCGGGAATATACACTGACATGTAGGCGTACACAAACCATTTAGAGGACTCACTCGTCCGTTTTTGGTGCATTTTTAACTCGGACTCGAGCATACGCCGCTTGCCGTCTAATGATCTAAGCAGAAGGACGTTACCGACAGAAACAGGAGACAAGGGTCTGGGTACGACTGGCTAAAGACGGCTAATAAGCCATAAATTGCCATCCTAGTCTCCTTTGTCTCTTTCTGTAATGTCCTTTCGCCTATATTATTAGCCACCTAGTGGTTAAGGCCCGAGTTCGAGTTACAGACGCACCATAAAAGGACCAGTGTGTCATCTAACTGATCGGTGTACGCCTACCTACCAATATTTATGCATAAATTGTATACTACACACATATCGAAGGAATAATTTTGCAAATTATTAAGTGCATGGCTTAAAGGCGGGTGGCTGGATCATGAAGTTTAGGAGTCAAAACCGAAGTTTCAATGAACATTTAGGTCGAAGACAATCAAATCGCGAGGAAAAGCTACGAAAATGTCCATTATGCAAACAATTAGTACTACAAGTAGTTAATATCTCATATAGCAACGATTTTATACGGTACCGCTGACATAGGTACTAGCTAGAAGCCCAGACGATGTGTCTGCTGCCGTATGATAGACAAAACAAGGGGTTCGGCTCCTCAGTGGGTTCTCCAACGTTCCCTACACGGTTTTTGGTACATGACATCCAGATGATAATTGGGGAAATGATTTTATAAATCATTATTATATATATGAAAGTAAGGAGCTCACCAATCCATCTGATTATGGAACATAACCGTGCCAATGTGCCTGGAAACTCTTTCCAGAGTAATTGTAAGCAGTCGCACAACGACTTTTTACATATGATGAAGTGTAATCACAAAAGACACAGGGGTGACAGGAATGACCAGTCCTGGCTTAGCAGCCGCAATCCTGGGTGATTCACACATGGGATGGAGCATGAATGGGCGATGATGGCTTACAAGTAATAAATGGTCATTCTGCTATCCTTTGTCTTTGTCGGTTACCCGCCTAATATAAGTACATATTATATAAGGAACAAGAGCATTCCAGGAAGTAGAATTTGATGGATAGAAGTTTAGAAAAGGACTATTTTAAAACTATATATTGTGTGCGATGCTTCACTCACTCCTTTTTTATTTAGTAAACGGGATTTTCACTTCTTCGCAATTTTCCATCTTTCCAAATATACGTACTATTAATTTTTAAATCGCAACGTGCTTCTTTTTATGAAAGATCGTTCCTATACTGTTGAAGACTTTTTGGGAAGCAACATCGGCTTATGG